CCTGATGTTTATCCCATGCCTAGAATTGATGAGTTGTTGGAAACAATTGGGGCTGCCAATTACATTACCACACTCGACTTAACGAAAGGGTATTGGCAAGTAGGCATGAGTCCCACAGACCAACACAAAACTGCGTTTGCTACTAAGGAAGGACTGTTTGAGTTCACAGTCCTCCCTTTTGGTCTTAAAAATGCCCCAGCTTCACTCCAAAGATTGGTTGACAAGATGTTAATTGGCTTATAGGACTTCTCCCTAGCTTACCTCGAGGACATAGCGATTTTTAGCCCGACTCGGAAAGATCATATACAACACGTTGCTATTGTCTTTCAGAGAATAAAAGATAGCGGGCTAACCGTGAAGGCAGCCAAGTGTCATTTCGCAATGACTCAAGTGAGATATTTGGGACATGTGATCGGGGGAGGTAACATCAAGGCTGATTGGGGAAAGGTCCAGGCGATAATAGATTGGCCCAGGCCATCCTCTAAGAAGGATGTGAGAGCGTTCTTGGGAGTAGCAAACACTGTCACAGACGCGCTGTTCAGGAATACAACTGGATAAAAAGAAAAGGGGAAACTTGGAAGACTATACCCACAGTGGCAACATAGAAACTCAAAGACTAACTTAATTTATTATTTATTTATTTATTAAGATTTATACCCCGCCCTCCCCGCAGAGCGGGCTCAGGGCAGCTTACTTAAGGGACAAGGGGAACCCTTGGGAATATGTGTTGATGAATTCTTTGTTTTAGTTGTTTGCTTTTGAAAGTTGTTTGTATATAGATACAAGAATGTAACTTAAGGATAAGGAAGCCGCACATGAACCCCATTGCACAGCAAAAGGTTGCACCTTTCCCTGGTGCAATGTTCTCCAGAGGAGGGGCATGTGATGGATTCCAAAAAGGAAACACCTGGAGAAGGGCGTTGTGCAGACATAGGGCAGTGTGGAGAAATGGAATGTTCAGGAGGTTGATGGACAGAAAACGGACAGAGGGGGACGAACGGGACGGAGAGTGAGGGAGGCGATAAAGAGCGGGTGGAGGTTAACAGCCATAGGGAACTGACACATTTTGGAAGAATGCCAGAGGGCGGTTTAATTGTTGGAACATATGGAACATGTATCTGATTAAGGTTGTGCTGGAGGAAAAAGCGAGGTGTCACAGTAAAGCCGTTTTATTCTGTTAAACAATGGAGTCCGGTCACTAATTTCCGCCGGCTTTAAAAGCCTTGGAGTGAACCAGGAGAGTTTTATAATGAAGAACGGAGCCAGTGGGTATGTGGTCCCCGTTACTACCCGAAGCTAGCAGTGTCCCTCATAAGGGAAACCCAGAGTGGTGTCCTCAAGGTGGTGGCCTGTAAGAGCCCATAACACCATACCTCAAAGGGGACCCGCGCCCCCTCCAACCAATGTCTCCAGGTGGCCAGTGCCAGTCGGATCGCCCCCGCCTCCTTCCCCCAAACTGACCAATTGCATTCCGTGTCATTGAACTTCCTCGACACATACGCCAAGGGGTGTAGCAACCCATCCTCCCCCTTCTGGAGGATCGCGGCCCCCATGGCCACGTCCGATGTGTCGGTTTGAACAATAAACTTTTTATTTTCATCGGGGTGGGCTGAAACAGGCTCGGAAGTGAACAGGGATTTGAGGCAGTTGAACGCCTCTTGGCACTCTTTGCTCCAAGCTAACTCAGCCCCCGGTTTGGTCACTTCCGGACCTTTCCCCTTAGTCTTTAACAAGTCAGTGAGGGGCAAACTGATCTGGGCAAAATTGGCCAGGAAATTTCTGTAAAAATTTGCAAATCCAAGGAAGGCCTGTAATTGGCGACGGGTGCATGGGGCTTCCCACTCCAGCACATCCCGGATCTTCGCCGGGTCCATTTCCAGCCCCTTACTTGAAATCCGATACCCCAAAAAGTCAATGTGGGATTTGTGGAACTCGCATTTGGAAAGTTTCGTAAACAATTTATGCTTGTGCAATGTGGTGAGGACCTCCCTCACCAATTTCACATGAGAGGGGAGGTTGGGGGAGTACAGCAAGATATCATCTAGGTAAACAAGAGCCCCCTTGAATAAATGCTTGTGCAGCACTTCATTAATCAGGTTCATGAAGACCCCCGGAGCCCCCTGAAGTCCGAACGGCATCACCCAGTATTCGAACTGGCCGCGGGGGGGTGTTAAATGATGTCTTGTGCTTGTCCCCCTCCCTGAGGCGCACCTGGAAGTACACATCCCGTAGATCTAATTTTGAAAAGATTTTCCCTTTAGCTGCTTCAGCTAACAGATCTTTGATCAAAGGCATGGGGTAGGCATTCGTCGAAGACACTGAATTTAGTCCTCGATAGTCCGTGCAAAGTCTCAATCTCCCATCCTTCTTTGTCCAGAACAACACGGGGGCTGCAGACGGGGAGGAGGCCGGGTGGATGAAGCCCCGGGCTAGGTTCTTGTTGATAAATTTGTGCAGTTCCTCTTTCTCAGCTGGGCCCAAACTGCCAAAACAGCTGTCTTTCCTGATGAAGACACTTCTCCTGCTCGGCTCCTGTGAGACTAACTTTTTCCTTAGTGGCTGTTGCTAGGCAACCAAGCTTGGGTCTGTCAATAAAAAGGCAAAAAGACAAATATGGTCACAGTCCGTAGACATGAAAAGATAGAGCCACAGGAACTGTGTAAAGTGCGCTCAATGTTTCTTTAACGATAGCAATAATGTTATAAATATGAAAATTACAAAAGTGATACTAATACATTCAAATTGTAAATCCAGTACATAAGATAGAATATAACAACGACGGCGGGACGGTGGTCTCTGGAATGTGATGCCGTTTCAACAAACGTCTTCTTCTGACCAAGAAACTGTAAGCTTATACTTGATATAATACATATGAACATTACTACTTACATCTTAGGTAATTGTACAACAAAATTTAAAATAAACTTGGTACAAAACCTTACTAGATGATGTATGTGATGCTGTTTTGACTAAAAGGCAAAGACAAGAGGCCCTTTCCAGGCCTTTGTGGGGAACTCATTGGGCCCCATCCTGACTAGGGTTACCAGCTTCAGGTTGGGAAATTCCTGTATATTTTGTGGTGGAGTCTACAGAAGCCAGAGTTCGGGGAGGAGAGAGGCCTCAGCTGTAAGAATGATGTAAGTTGCTTTGGGCTCCACTGCGGAGAAAGACTGTACTTTTCCTCCTGCCAATCTCCAGGTGAGGGCTGGAGATCACTCAGAATTAAAACTGCTCTCCAGATGGCAGAGATCAGTTTCCCAGGAGAAAAAAAGCTGCTTTGCAGGGTGGGTTCTGTGTCATTATACCCTGCTCAGGTCGCTTCCCCTCCTGCTTGGGTCCCCACTGAAGAGAAGAAAGACTGTACTTTTCATAGGTAGAGGCTCTAGGTGTGTGTGGGGGGGAGATGGAAAGTCAGAGGGGCAGATAAAGGTAGGTTGATGGTTGGCTGGGAAGGAGATAGGATTACCAACTCTAGGTGGGGAAATTCCTGGAAATTTGAGGGGTGGAACCTGGAGAGGGTGGGGTTTGAGCAGAAGTAGATCCTCAGTCAGGTTCAATGCCATAGACTTTTACCCTCTATTTCCTCCTTGGGAACCATTTTTGCCAATCTCCAGGGGAAGGCTGGAGATCACTCAGAATTACAACTGCTCCAAATGGCAGAGATCAGTTCCCTCTGTGTCTCATTGTATTTATTTCCACAATGGGCCTTATTCCTAGTATGTTTATAATTCAAACACGCTACTAAGAGACTGCTCAGTCAGAGTGATGAATAATGTTTTGGTGGGAAAATCTGCCTCACAGAAGAGAAGGAGCAGGGGTCCATCATATCTCTGCCCCTTTCCCTTTCCCTACCAAGACACACTGTGATGCCATGGTTAAAGATGACAGTGGCAGATGACAGTGAGCTGAGCTGCCCCATACCGTTTTGAAAGTGAAGTCCCTGTACGAAATCCTACATGCGTGGTACGGTACAGATGCATCATGAAGGGGATTTCTATGAATCTAGAAAGGAATGGAAATGTAGTCCTCTCCAGTTCTAAGCTGTTGTTAAGCTTTTCAGGCTTCTAGGACTTAGTGAAAGCATGCACAACTCTCAACCAAATCAGTCAAACAGCAGGGGTTGTGTTTGGCATTTGCTAATGTGTCATGCTCCAGTGTTTAGAGTTAACTGCAGATGAGTAGAATTTAGCAGTGCCATTATGAGAGTCTGGTTCAAATGAATGCATTCTCATTTATCATACTAGAAAAATAATACAAGTCGACCAGTCATACTAAAAGTTCTAATCAAAATAATGACGATGCAGCTTGCTTACTTAAATACTTAAAACTATTGGGGAAAGTGTGTTAATTGTTTCCATTCAAAAAGAGACAATGTAAAGATATGCACACACTTAAAATCTCAAAGTTTTTTTCTAAAAAGCTCCCTAAAGAGTTTCAATTGTCTTCTCTGAGATATGTTATACTTCAGGGATTCTGTCACAAAGAAATAAAACTCCCCTCTCTCATCCTAAATCATTCCCCATGTGATCAAGCCACCTCTCCTCTGCTGTGATGCAATGCGGTTTTCCAGAATATTTTGAAATGTAGACTGCATTTTTTTATGCGGGAAATCAGCTGCTTTTCGATTTGTCTCTGTGTGTTTCTAAGGTACTGCAAAAATGTACACAGAGAGATGGCACTAAGTCTCCTTGCTCTTTCAAAAACCTCCTCCACCAGACAGGCTGAGGATACCTCTTTCTGCAAGTCACTGAAGTTAAACTGACTCTCCCACAGCCTCATCTTTCAGGAATAATCACCTTGAAAACTCCATTCTTCCAACAGCTCCTTTTGCATAAAATATTAGGCATATTAACTTCCTGGTTGTTTACAGCACTCTGCATAGAGGAATGTCTTCTTTCCCCATCTCAGAATTCTGGGGCATCAATCAGATCTGGTGAGTGTAATGACCCACACCCTTTTCATTCTGTTCATCAGGTGCACTGGGATGTCAGCACAATCCAATGGGTGTGAAAAATTATACCATGGTATCCGAATTCATCCTTCTTGGACTAACAGATCGTCTGGATCTCCAGGTCCCTCTTTTTGTCTTATTTCTAGTGATCTATGTTCTGACATTGACTGGGAATATGGGAATGATTGTATTGATTAGGATCAGTCCCCAGCTCCATACCCCCATGTACTTTTTTCTCAGCAATCTGTCTTTGGTTGATCTCTGCTATTCTTCCATCTTTGCTCCAAGGTTGCTAATGAATTTAGCTCAATCTAAAACAATTTCTTATGCTGGATGCATCACCCAACATTGCTTTTTTGTGGTGTTTGTAACTACTGAAGGATTCCTACTAGCTGCAATGGCATATGACCGCTATGTAGCCATTTGCAACCCACTGCTCTATACTGCTATTATGACCAAAAACGTTTGCATTCATCTCCTAGGAGGGTCATATTTGGGGGGGCTATTGAATTCATTCACACACACATCTGGCTTACTGATATTATCATTCTGTGTTCCTAATACAGTCAACCACTTTTTCTGTGATACACCAGCTATGCTGCAAGTTGCATGCTCTGATATCCACATTAATGAACTTCTATTGGTCATCTTCTCTGGGGTAATTGCTCTTTCTACATTCCTGATAATCATAATCTCCTATCTATGCATCCTCACTACAATCCTAAAGATCCACTCTTCTGAGAGCAGATACAAAGCCTTCTCAACCTGTGCCTCCCACCTGACAGCTGTAACCTTGTTCTATGGACCAGTAAGTTTAAGTCATTTGCAACCTGGTTCCATGTACTCTCAGGAGCAAGAAAAAATCTCAGCTGTGATCTACACTCTGGTAGTCCCTATGCTGAACCCACTGATATACAGCTTGAGGAACAAAGAAGTAAAGGATGCCTTAAAGAAAGTTATCAGCTGTTAAAATTGATAATGTGATTCTTATTTTCTCAGGATGGTCCATATATATATATTATAAGTATACAATATATTGTATTGTATTTAGAGTATTGTTTTAGATTGCTTGGTGTATAAAAATGGTGCAAAAGTAAAGAAAATGTTAAAGAGCTGGTGTGGAGAATTTCATGCTTCATTTTGTATCACTAGCAGATTTCTCATATAATTTGATTGTTGTATAGGGAGGGGGAATCCTCCGACTAATTTTCTGGCAGTAATTCTCATTCTTTTTGTAAAAATATAAATCTAATCTTTTGATTGCAGGAACTACTTTAAGAGAGGCATTTTATGCTATATTTTTGTAAAAATAAAAACTCTACATTATTGTAAGAAATGAGCAGGAAATATTCAAAATTAACATGTAAGAAATGAGAAGGAACTATTAAAATATTCAAAATTTTAAAATGTTGTAACACACAATGTGGAGAGAATTTTCATATAAGGTTCTCTCCTGTTTAAGTTTGGCTATCCTAAATGGATCTGTGTATACCAGACTCTTATTTCCTGTCCCATGAGTCTTTGCAGTGGCCTGCTTGGCCTATTTTCTCTGCCCTGGGAACACAGAGACAGGTTTCCTGTTTCTCAGAGCATCTGTCCCTTTGAGTTTTTAAATTATAAGTGTAGGGGTAATTTAGTAGTCAATAGGTTTAGGAATACTATAGGGGAATGGTCAAAAGCCCCTTTATTAGCTTGAGTTAGTGTGAAAGGGCCTAGCCTTTCACACACCCTTTTCACCTAACAGAAACCAGGCCTGTTGTTATCTCATCTCTGGGAACACAGAGGAGCATCCTGATGCGGTCAACTGCAAATGTAATAAGTCAAGTTGTAAATTGCTTGGGAACATCTTTAGGAAAACAATGTTGTTCTGCAGTGCCTTGACTTCAAGAGAACATCTATTACATATCAAACCAACGATTGAAGTACAGATTGATGTAATTCAGTGAGGTGTCAATTTTTGTGAAATGCTTTGATGTATCTGTATAAATTGGGCCCCCTCACAAGCCATCTGTGTTGCTCTGACTGGAACCAGGGCCCCCTGTTCTCTGTGTGTCTCTTACTTCGTTTCTGTGTGCTATCTGTGATATGTGTATGCTTGCTATAAGAAACAGAGTATTGTTTTGTTAAGACTGGACTTCAGCCTTGTGCTAGGCAGGCTGAGCCCAACATTTTGTTACATTTTATCACTAACCCTTTAATAAAGAGAGCTTGCTTGCTATAGTTGACTGTGTGAGTGTGTCCAGGTGCTGTTTTCCAGCAGCACTGTTTTCCCATTTCCTCACCACATAGCCCTTGGTAAGGGGGGTGACACCAAAAGCTTCCGAACCCTTTGGGGGGACCAAAGGGGGGGCGTCCCCAATTCTCATGACACACAATCAGGAAATATTTAAAATATTCAAAATTACAAATTTATAAGAAATGTGCAGGAAATATTCAAAATATTCAAAATTACCATTACCAGGGGCGATTTCGCACTAGAGTTGCCTCGCGGTGCAGCCGCCATTTGCCCCAACACAAACATGTTAATTTCACACCCGAGGCTGCGGGGCTGCATTTTGACTCGAAGCTTCGCCCGATTTCCTCCACAGTTTCGTGATCCTGGTTTTTGAGGATCACGAAACTGCCGAGGAAATCAGGCGAAGTAAGTGCAATGCTATTCAATGGGGCTCATGTCGTTTCAAACAAGTTAAGGTGAGTAGAATGGCCTGCTCAGAAGTAAGCACAATGAAAAACTAAGTGCAATGAAAGTGCAACTCAGAAGTAAGTGCAATTAAAAGTAGGATATAGTTAAACTCTGCCTCCTTATTCCATTTTGGAATGATAGCTGGGGCGATTTCACACTATGAAGGAAGGTTAAAGCGCTTGGGGCTCTTTAGCTTAGAGAAACGACGGCTGAGAGGTGACATGATTGAGGTTTATAGGATTATGCATAGGATAGAGCAGGTCGAGAAAGAGGTACTTTTCTCCCTTTCTCACAATACAAGAACTCATGGGCACTCCATGAAATTGCTGAGCGGTCAGGTTAGAACAGGAAGTACTTCTTCACCCAAAGAGCGATTAACACATGGAAGTCACTGCCACAGGAGGTGGCGGTGGCTACAAGCATGGACGGCTTCAAAAGGGAATTAGATAAACATATGGAGCAGAGGTCCATCGGTGGCTATTAGCCACAAGGGATGCTCTGTAGTCTTGGTGTTTGGGGGGGCAACAATGGGAGGACTTCTAGTGTCCTGGCCCCACTGCTGGACCTCCTGATGGCACCTGGTATTTTTGGTGACAGCCCCTAATACTTCCTAAATGATAAACCATGCAACACACAATCAAGTTTTAATGATCTTCATGTCCCATGATTCAAAATTATTTTGCTTACCTTTGCCTTTCAAAATTTTATGTATGTTCCTACCAGGTATGAAATAAAATCCCTATACTTTTATCACATCAACAACCATTACCTTAATTTCTTTTGTAAGCTATACAAAGGTCCACAGATCTTTAATTTTCTCAAGAATTCTTTAAGACTTCATGCAAGTGTTATGAACAATATTTCATAGCATGACTAGGTTGTATTCTATTTTAAAATCTTATTTTGACTCTTTTCCATTTGGTACAACTGGCTGCTGCTTTCTGAACCAGCTGTGTCCAAGAGCGGCCTAATGTAAAGCACATTATAGTAATCCAACCATGAGTTTACAAAATCGTGGATCAGTAACACCAGATCAGTTGCAGCAAGCAGAAGGGACATTTGTTAAAGTTGTCTGAGCATGCCAACCCTATTGATCAGTAGGATGAACATCTAGGAAACCACCAGTTCCAGTGCCAGAGATCTGAGCCCACTGACTGCTCTTCCAACAAGTGTTTAACATGGTCAGCAAAATCTAACACTGCAAGGATGTTTCTAGAACTTCCTGGAAGCAGAAACAAATTCAAGTAAGGCCTTCATGCAATTATCCATAGAACTCATTGAGGGGGGGATTTGGTTTTTTTTTTTTTACAACACAAGGTTATTATTGTATAAGCGGAGGAGGGAAGAACCAAGAACACCACACTTGGAGGCTTGTTCGAATGGTTGGATAAAAATCAGAGAAATAATTGTAATGTTAGTGAGATATGTTAGTCAGCTCTGCTTGGACGTTATGTTTCCTAACTGGAGCCCCTTCTTCTAGACCAGGTGCATTGGAGCTAGTTGTTGATTACTTAGGGTCTTTATATTTAAATATTTTGGAGTTGAGCCCTGATATTTAAAATAGATACTGGGTTACAACAGTGGCTGAAATTAAGCCATGGGATCATCTCATACTGATGGATTCACTAAGTTTTATCTTGTGCATTGAGATGGAGGCAGCACTGCAAAAGAATTACCATTTGGAACTTAAATATGAATGGCTGGTCATACCAGTTTGAGTGAGTCTTGCCACTTCCCTTTTCTGAGGGGGAAATCATGCTAATATGCTCTCTGTTTAGTCAAGCACTCACAAATAAGATATTATTCATACTAGAACCTGTTTGCAAGGTAGAGGGGAGTAGCTTGCACTGCTATTGAACAACACTTGTATAGTGATGAATGTATGAACTGGGGATTATTCATACATGCCTTGACAATTTCTGACTAGAAATAATGTAATGTGCTCTATAGGGTTTTAGGACAGACGTGTTCAGAGTGGAATGTATTGCCATTCTAATGAGTTACGCAGTATATGTGGCATAGTCACAGCTGTAAGATGTTGCTGAACTGTAGATAAATTTTAGTGGCAGAGGCTCTGGGCTGCTGCAAGATCCCTGATCGATCAGGATCCAACAAGACGCAGTCCAACTTTGTAAGAACGTGGTTCCCATTCCTACAATACAGGTCCAACATGATCCCCAGCCTCGTCAAGGATAAGGCTCCCCACGTCAAGGATGTCCCCTCTAAACGTCTAAAATTTAGAATGTTTAAGGTGCTCTATTTAATCAAAGAAAATTCTTCTCCACTAAGAGGTGATGGTGGATCATAATGGACTGATGGATAGCTCTTTCAAATTTTCAGCAGAATCCAAACATCTTATTTTCAAAGACAGACAGCAACACAGCACCTGCATTTAATTATTTCTTTAATAATTCAGAATGAGGAGAGTAGATTCGGGGGGGGGGTATTTGGATCTGTAGAAACAGGGTAGCAGAAAGGAAGTCACATTCCATGGATGGAATCCTTTCTGTTTGCATAAATTCTCTGTAGGATCCAGCCCAATGATAATGCTCAAAGAATTGCGGGTATGGTGTAGCGACGGGCGCATTCTCAGCTCCTCCAAGATCCCTGTGTTATGTATTGACTTGTATGCATGAACTGCTATGCGAATCACCTAATTGAGATACCATGATAAGCTTCGCCCTGGGCTAGGATCCTAATGTAACCAATAGGAGCCCTAGCCCCGAATGTGTCTGCCAATCAGCTTGCAAAGCGGGATCGCTCCTGATTGGACGTTATCTCTTCAACCTCATAGGTTGTATTACTGTACAGTGGGTGTGGCTACACTAGCCGGGAGTGTTTAAATATGAACAAGCCAGTGTATGTATAGTCTCCGTTCTCTGATGAGTTCTGGCTGGCGATTGTTGTACCGTGTTGGAGAAGTAACTGAGCTGAAGAAATAAACCGCATTCTTGCTGAAATCACTCTCCGACTTCTTGTTAAGCTCGCGACTTAACAATTGGCGACGAGGATGGGATTCTAGTGCGGGTAGGCAGCCCCGCTAGTACAGACCCCAC